CGGCGCCGATGACAGTGACGAGACCACGGGCAGGGGCAGGGGCTCCTCCACCACCATGCCCAGCATCATCGCCGTCATCGTGGGCGTCTCCAGCGGCGCGCTGCTGCTCAGAGTCTGGTCGCTTTCCAGCTGTGGTTCCGCGCTCTCGACGGCGGTCGGCTCGGCGGCTTCAGCCACGGCCTTGGTGGGCTCGGCTTCAGCCTCGGCAGGCGGAGAGGCCGGAGCAGCAGGTGGTGGCTCGGTGGGCGCACCGTTGCGACCGACACCAGTTGAAGTGGTGGTGTCCACAACAGCGGTGGCATCTTCTGCGTGTGGCGGCTCAAGGCGAGCCTGTCGACGACGATGAGGTGAGTCATTGACCGTGGCCGCGCAGAATGGATGACACGGTGTACCTTCTTTGTGGGCGGCTGTGCGGGCGAGAGAGGGGACGAAGGCGCATCGGTACCGGCAGGCAATGGCGACGCCGGAGCCAGGGCGGAGGCGCCGAGCGGGCTCGTGCCGTTATCCTCGAGAGACCGGCGCTTGCGAGGAGGCGAAGCGGTGCCCACCACAGACGCGGCGGCCGGCGGACTCTGACCGGCGGCACGGAATCGCTTCTCTTCTTCGTAGTGTGCGAGGAGCTCCTCGTCCAGGTCTCCAGCTTTGATGCGCGTCATTCTCTCTGTGGACTTTCTGCAAAGGTATCATTACTCCAAGATCAGACATGCGTACACGCACACGCACACGCACACACGACACACATGACACACGCACGACGGCAATGTGCACACAATGACACAGCACAGACTCATAAGAAGGAGCGTACTGGATCTCGGAATCGCAGAGTTCGATGGATTTGCGAAGGTGGTGCATGTACTCTTCTCGCAGCGCTGCCACGACGCGATCCAGCCCCTCTTGAATAGCCGTTCACGAAGAGAGTACAAGTCGATGTGAGCAGCAAGATGGAGAAGAAGACGAAAAGTCACGAGCGCGGTACCCGCCAAAGCCCCGTTGCTGGCCGACAAGCTCTGAGCCCCAGCAGGTACCCCGTGGCGAGCCAACAGCGTGTCATACATTGCCATGCATCGCTACAAGAGAGGATTAACGCGAATAAAAAATATTAATAAAAATAAGAATAATAAAAACAAAAACAAAAGAATAGTTGCACTGTACCTTAGAACCAAAGCTGGTGGGGGTGGTGAGTCGCTTCTTGGGGATGTGCTTTCGCAGGAGGCGACTGACGGCAGCCCAATTCACATCGCGCTTGCCGTCCTGCCCACCAGAATCTCCTCGATTGCCATTCCCAGCGTTGCTGCCGCCTCCTGCAGCGCCACTGGTCACTGCCTCTACGAGCAGCAGCTTGTCTCTCGGTTTCCACTGGTCTTCATCGACCTCCATCCCCTCCAGGCGAATTAATCACAAGTGAAAAATTGACAAAATTGTTGACGTGCTGACGTCAGCACAGACAGCCAAATTTCCTTCCACTTTTCTCTTCGGCTGTACTTGGGCCGGAAGGCTCGGCACGGTTGGCCTCCTCGGCATGGGCTGCACTTGCTCCTTTACCTCCAACTCGAGCACACGCGCATCAGCAAACCGGGTACTTTTGTCCATCTTCTCTTCACTTCACTTGTGATGTTTTTTTCCTGCATGGAAGATGATTACTCATCCTTTGGCAATTCATTCTTGCTCTACGCTGCCGGATGACCACGAAGGTACCATGGGCATAGATTTGAGGAAGGAGGGTGGGGCAAGAGGAGATGGAGCTGTGCAGAGCCAGAAGCGGCCCCCGCGCCGTGCAGCGCCGCTACGCTTTCGCTTCTACCTCGGAGGCGCCGTGGCAGTGCACCTGACCGCCGCTGCGAGCCTCATCTACGGCCTCTACCTGCTCCATCCCTTCCTACTCGTGCTCTTCCTCCTTGGCTTAGGTCTGGAGATGAACAGGGTGCGTCACCATCTTCTCTCTTCTTTCGGTCATCACAATGGGCGAGGCT